ACATAGCTGGTCGGCTGAACCTCTGAAGCTAGGAACTGGCCATTGTTTGTAGAGTTTGTTTAGACAGTAGCATTTTTGTTCAATTGGCTACATCTGTGGTATTTTAGTGACAGCAGAAATGCTCCCTCTAACCACAAATGACATTATAGCTGTCAGACAAGTTGTTATTCTAGGATATGTATGCATTAACTCATTTGTGTACCTTGAAACAAATTTTTTACCGAGTATAGAGAAATACTTGGTTAGATGTTTCACCAATTCTGAAATGCTTGACTTCGCTTTTTAACTGAGTTACTTCTCTAATTCAGGAAGGGTCTTCTCATAGGAGAGTCCTCAGAAGTAGTAAAAGGAATGGAAGTATGAAAAGAGTAAATCTGATCCAGAATACACAAATTCAGCTTTAGATAAAACAGTTGTATTATTTTTTGATCTTGTTTCATCATTGTTTTCTGTATACATTTCACTTATAAATGATACCAGCCATTGCTAAAACACACTTTTGGCTACCCCAACTGCAGGAATTGCAGTTGAGGATCATTGTTTATTCAGATTCCACTAGAGAAACACACAGACTGCATGTTTTAAGAAACCAGCATCTATCAGAACTGCACAAACCTCTGTATAAGGAGAGAAGGTTAAATGTATCATAGAATCATAGAAAAGCTGGTGAAAGGGAGCTCTAATCCAACCTCCCACTCAAAGTGGGACTATCCCCAACATTATCTCAACTCAGTCATGGCTCTGCTGGCCACACCTCGAGTACATCCACAGACAGAGATCTCACAAGCTCCAGGTAACCTGTTTCCATGCTGTGCTACCCTGTATATTTTTCTAAAGTCCACTCTGAACCTCCCAAGACACAACCGCAGGGGTGTTGCCACTTTTTGCTCCATTTGCCAAAAATAGTTGGGCTCTGTTGTCCTTATAACTCCTTTCCAAGTAGTTGTAGGCTTTTCCTTAGCCTCCTTTAGCTGAGCTAAAAAAGCCCATCTCCCACAACAGCTCTTTGGGGTTCCTGTGCTCTAGGCTCCCAGCCAACCTCATTGCGTTCTGCTGAAACCCTGCTTTATAAATAACTAAACATCATAGACATCATAGAATGCTTAAGGTTGGAAGGGACCTCTAGAGGTCATCTAGTCCAACCTCCTGCACACGCAGGGTCACCTAGAGCACGTGGCACAGGACTGCGTCCAAGCGGGTTTTGAAGATCTCTAGAGATATATCAGGGTAACTTTCAATTTCTTTATAGGATAGAGGACTTAACGAGAGTAGGGAAGTTTATCCTCTCTCAGTCTACAAAGCTACTGCTTGTGAGGCTGGTTTTATCACTAGAACTTTAGTCAAGGTGTCTGTGCTTCAGCAAGTGTCCATGCAACTGGGCAAGTCCTGTGAATGCAATGTCAGGCAACCTGAGTTGCACTGATGTTGAATGGCCCTACTGAAAAGACACGAATCTAGAAGTGAACTGCAACATTTGGCATATCTCCTGTGCGTCTGTCATGATGACCCGGAGTTCAGGCAGGAAATGAAATGCAGATTATTCTTGGGAGCACTCAGGAATGTTCTTCCCACTTGTTTGGAGCTTGGCTGGGTGGTGGATGGGGTTTACTGAAGAGCATTGGTATTTTAGGAATAGCATCTTTAATGGAAATGATGATGCTGGCAGGGTCTAAGATAGTACACCCAAAAGTTTGGGGACTTCTCTAAGTGACTATAATTTCTATAGTTAGGTAGAATTCCATTAAGAAATCTAGGCAGGAGGACCCTAGCTGCTCGGCAGTCCTGGGAAGCTCAGATATTGCCAGTTACTGAGGTCAGAATTAGCTGAACTCTCACATATGGAAATGTCAAGTTCTTTGGGAGACTCTGTTTGGAGACTTGAGGTGAAACACAAATAGGTAATGTGTGAATGCTAAGCACCGTGAAGGAAAATCCTCCTCAGCCAGAGGAGGAGAAGGCCGGTTGGGTAGGAGCACCTTCTAGAAGGACTGGACTGCCTTCCAGTGGGTTGGTACAAGCTACCACGTCTGCCAGTTTGGGAGTTTGTAGGCAGTAACTGGAGCAAGGATTCTGGGAGCTATGATGATATAGATGTGGAATCTACACAAGTGCTTAAGAATTCATTATTAAATGTAATATTTGGAAAAAGAGAGCTTATTTCTTATTCTTGACTTGTAAACTCATCAATTCTAAATTTAACCAGACCACACACTGTACAGCTGCTTCTCATTTCTGTATCTATATGAGTACTTTTTTAATGTCAGTATTGCTTGCTATAGTGCCAATGACCTTTTCCAGGTTCGTTTTTCCTGAAAATTGTCATACGATAAGAGGTCAAAAAAAAAAAAAAAAAAAGGAACCAAGGGGAGCAATCAGGACTGGGCTTAGACTGAGAATCTGGCTGAAGTTGCTGGGACGCAATTTGAGGATCACGTCTGGGGCATCCCTACCCCCCTCAGTCCTTCCAGCTGCAGAGGTTAGTCTCCTGCTGCCTGAGAATTGCTGAAAATATCACATAGACCAGATTTCTTTAGAAACCTTAGCAAGACCATTCCTCTTTACTGTTGCTGCACACCTCCTCTGTACGTCCTTCACTTCCCTTTCCTGCTCACACAGGCTCTGCTGTCTCATCCCTTTATAATTCCTCCCTGGCCTCCTGCTCTTCTCCCCTCGCTCAGGCAGTGGGGATCTGAGCTCACATCCCCATCCTCCTCTCCTTATGGTGACAGCCACCACAGTCATGGCCCCATTTCAGTCCACACCTGAGGCGCTCATGCTCACTGCTGTGGTGTCTCTCTGTCTTCCCTCCCTTCTCCTGTTGCCTCTGGGACACTCATTGCATTTCTAAAACTGTTTCAGCCAGTAATGACATTTCTGTATGCTACTCTTTGTAACTCCTCATCCATCCCCCTAATCAACTCAGATTTCCATGGACTTTTTGGCTCCTCACAGAATCACAGGAGGGGTGAGGTTGGAAGGCACCTCTAGAGATCATCCAGTCCAACCCCCTGCTCCAGCAGGGACACCTAGAGCACGTGGCACAGGGTGGCATCCAGGCAGGTTTAGAAGATCTCCAGAGAAGGAGACTCCACAGCCTCTCTGGGCAGCCTGTTCCAGGGCTCTGTCACCCTCACAGGAAAGAAGTTCACTCCTCTTCTTTGTTTTTTTGGGGTTTTTTTTTGTTTGTTTGTTTTGGCAGTGTCTTACCAGTCCCCTCAATATAACTTTTCCCACTCCCCAGTTCACATTTCTTATTCTAGAGGTTTGTCTTCTGTCCTCTCCTTCCAGTATCTCCTTTTGATGAAAATGATCCCTTATCTTCCCTTGTCCAATGTCTTACTCTTCTTCACACATCCAGTCTTATCTCACCTCACTGTGCTCTCCTATTCCTTTTGCCTATCCTCAAGCTCTTACCTCTCATACAATGTGCGTTAGTGCAGTCCAGACTAAAAAAAAAAGCAGAACTTTTCCCAGGTCTGTTTTCTTAATGTCTCTGTTCTGTCTTTATAAATCTTGGATTTTTGGGGGGAACTTCTTACAAACTTAACTACCATCTCTATATGGCTGTCACACATTTCCAGATACAGTCTGGAATCCCCAAGGTAAAACATCAGCTTGTTTAACCCATCCTTTTAAAGATGAGCATCTGTTCCAACTCAACATAGCCAAAAGACAATCCATAACCTCTACCCTCAATCACTTTTAACTACTGTGACTAATCACCACCATCTTCCTGGTCATTCATGGTGTCATAATCTGGGTTTCATTTTCTATGGAAGTTTCTCTATATAATTTATAACTGGCCTTTATCTATACTGGGTAATCCAATGACTGTTAAGATTTCTCATAGGTGATGTATGTGGGGTGATGTTGCCTTAGTACTGATACGCTGTGCTATCCTGCAGCATTGGTGCTATCCCTTCCCTCAAAGTTTGCTTGAGCATTGTGCTTGGCTTCCCAGGCGCCTGACATTCCTTACTCAGCCGACCTGGCACCGGTCAATCCATATCCTGGAATCTCTCCAGACACCGTCAGGCAGCTTATGGAATGGATTGAACACGATGGTCACCTTACTGAAGCAAACCGTCTGAGTATCTCGCCAGAGGCAATCTCCTCAGGACTTTGGAGGCTATCAGTAGGATGTACCTACGTTTCTGAAAGCGCTTTGGAGATATCATTACCTATGTCAGGAGCTAGTCAGGAGCTATACACCATGACTATACAGCTATCCAAAACACAGTGCAGGTTTCAAGAGACCACTCAGTAGAGTAGGCTAGTGACATTTAACCTTTAACAAAGGTCAGGTATTTCTTTTCTCACTGGCAACATGGGATGCCTAAAATTAGGCGATGTGAAGGTCCAGTAAGGAATTTTCAGGGGACTGCAGGTTCTGGTAAAAATCAGTGTTAATTTGCGCTGATGAACCCACCTAAAGCCTCTAGAAATCTCTACTCATGCATCATCAGCCCCTAAAAGAGAGTTACTTATGAAACTGAGAATAAATTCACCTACAACCAGGTGTTTCTCAGTATTTTTCTAAAACCAGCCCTCATGAGAACATGTCTACATATTGATTTAGCTTAACTCTGCTTTGCATTTTCAGCCTAATTTTAAATAGAGTTTCATTTCTGATTTCTTGAGACAAATTCAAAACACAGCTTAAAATATAACAGACTTACTTAAAAGACCCAAACTTGAAAGGTGCTTGGCTCCCACTTTGCAAAGTAGGTCATGAAAAATGAGGCACACCCATGCAAATTAAATATCTGACAGACAGACTTATCTCATGAAGAGATCCAGACAACGGGAGCTTGCCTGAGTCTGGGACGACTTCCAAGAGCAGAGAACCCTGACTGCAAAAGTGAAAGGATTCTCCCAACAGGGAGTCTGGTATCACCCAGCCATGGCACTGAGGGGGTCCTCAGTGATTCTGCTTTCTTTGTTCAGATTTTTTTTTTTACTTAAATCAGCTATTCCATCAAGCAATGAGTTCTTGATTTGACTCTCTTATTCTGGTTCCAGTTCCCAAGTTATTTCATGTAACGCTCCCTCTGGCATCTCTCCCCTTTGCTGCAGTGAACAGTGTTGACGTATCCCCACACACTGGAATCCACTCACTTCTGGATGCCTATCTGCCTGCCACGGGAGCCCAGGCACACCAAGATCCTGTACAACTGTGCTCTTGGCCATACTTTTGCCTAACTGCATCATCAGTCTTTCTATCTTCAGCCCCCCATCAGAATAACCAGTGGTAAAGTGGAGCAGTTGAGATCATACTGCCAGATGAAAACCAGCTTGTTTTTAGAGTAAATCCATGCCAAAGTTGCACATATTTTGCGCTAGGAGAAAAACAAATAGTCATTCATGATATGCAAAGGTAACTTGCTTGGGTTTAACTATTTCCAGCTATTGGCCAAGAATGATAACTTGCTGCAGGGAATCTGCGCTGGGCTTCTCACCAGGAATGTTTGCCAACCTTGCAGCCCTCTGCTGTGTATCATTGCTGTAACCTTGGCCAGCTGAGTAGGCTTTGGGCCAGTAATGGTCAGCTGAATTTTTGGAGCTCTGGAATATAGGTTAATATTCCATTTTTTTTTCATGTAAAATTAAAATTTATAGATCTAAGATAAAATTCTGCCTATTCATGTCAAAGCCTTATTTCACTGATGGTCCACAAGTATGAACTGCATATAGATACCGAGAGAGCTAAAGGGTTAAGGCTAAAATGTAGTTACCAAGCAACTCTTTTCCCTTCTGTATACAACGCCGTGTTATCACTGCGCCGCGCAGAGATAGGCACGAGCGACACGGTGAAGTGGCCCTGGAAGCGCGATCAGCTTCACGGCCCTTCCTCCTGCAGCCTCAGCCAGGAAGAGCTGCAAAGTGCGGGACACCAAGGCAGGAAAGCACATCTGGAGTTTTACAAATCCAGCTGATCAGTTGATGGATTTTTCTCTATCTCTGAATTAATGTCTGACAGGTTAGGCATGGCAAAGTGTCTGCCTGTGTCAGCCCGGCATTTCTGAGATGGTGCTCTTTGGCCAGAGGTACCTTTTCTAAAAAGACCTCCTGGCACGGTGGAGGGAACTTTGGTGCCCGCTGAATTTCTTAGGAAATAAATGAGGTAGCTTAATTTGCATTGAGTCTTCTCCAAAATAATCCTTACAGTTTCAGTGCATTCATTTTGTGCTTGGCATTAATCCAACAGCTGTGAAACCTTACTTCTGCTGGCAATGCCTTTGCACTAACCTTCAGAAAGTCTTGTGGCCTAATATCTCCATTGGGTATGGCCCAATATCTCCATTTTCCCATCTGTAAAATGGAAGCATGAAGTGACTTTCATCCGCTTTACGAAGTGCTTTGACATCTACAGATGAAAAACTTCACGGTGTATAGAGGTAGTGTCAGCCACTGGAAAGACAGTGCTTTTTTTAAAGCAAAAATTACAAATGCTTTTTCCTAGAAAGAAATATACAATAATAGCTAAATTCAGCAAGTGTGATTTAGGAAACTGTGTGGACCAGGCAAATTTTGAGTCCTGCAAAAAACAATCTATGAAGAAAAGATGATCTCTTTCTAATCATAACACCCCTTTTATATATTACTGCACTTTTTACTATTGCTCTAGAAATCCCTGCTTTATTCTATAGCTTCACTAATTAGCACTGAGACCTGATTGATGGGGAAATACAAATTGCCACTCAGGAAGCAATCTGAGCATGGCAAACACTGGACATCTCCAGGCTCATTCTGCCCATCACGAGACATTAGTCAGTGTCAACTGTCTTTCCCTGCACTACACGATGATGATAAATTTCCCAGGTTTTGAACAATTTTGTTTCGCGTGATCGTCTAATCTGTGAGACTCCGTTTTTGAAAGTACGTGGCCAAGCACTATGGCTGTGGCTAAAGCCAAGTGTAAAGTCTTTATGAGTCCGGGACAACCAACAGAGGCAGGAGAAGCCCGTGGTCTTGCTTGAGGAGGCCACTTGCTGAGCGTTCACTTCCAATGTATCACTGGGGTTTCTGCTACACCCTGCTAATATCAAAACAACTGTTTTTATAACACCATTTTGCTGTTCCTGCATTGCTGGGATTTCCTTTAGCTCCTGTTAACTCTGTCCAGAACATATGTAGCCACCATTGGTTTTGGAAGGCAGTTCTAGATGGCAGTTTGTTTTCAGAGCCCAGAAACTGGAGAGCATGTGCTCTGGGATGGGCTTGGGCAGGAACCAGCCCTTGAGCAGGCTGACACCGGGACTGGCAGCACTGCAGGGAGCCCCGAGGCTGCAGACTCAACTCCGTCCCATCTGCAGAGATGGGAATGGGGCCCAGCAGCTGCCCCTTTCCTCCTGGGCCTCTTTGGTTTACACATCAAAAGCCCCCAATACAACAGGCAACTTGCTAACAGTGCTAGCAATTAGGTCAAGCACCAAAATTGCAATGACACCCAGTGCTTCCCTCTTCCACTAAGAGGATTTTGGCTGTTATCAAACTGCAGTTTCACACCCAGTGCTTCCCTCTTCCACTAAGCTGGCACTTGAGATCCCAGCGGAAAGCCCTCAGGAAAGGGGTGCAGGGAACCCCTGATCTGTCAAAGAAGAGGATTTCGGCTGTTATCAAACTGCAGTTTCCATGGACAGTTCAGCTTTTACAGAAAAATTGAGGTAACACAGTTAATAAAAAGACAGAACCGAAATATTTCTATCATCTTGTTAGGAAACTAGTTTGGAGCTGGAGTCACACGGCAGAATACCTTAATTCTGTGCCACACAGAGAGGGTAAGAGATGATTTCTGCCAAAATAATCTTGCTGTGGATGCTGCACAGATACAACATTCAGTGTGCTGCAGCTACAGGTCCATGTTAAAGGTAACATGCCAGAACAAAAAGGAGATACTGAGAGAGGCAAAGACAGAACCAGTGACAAATTGGGTGGCATGTTTAGCAGTTACGTTCCAGATACTGACCAGAATATAAGTTGTTACTTTCAGTTTTGTTTTAAGAAAACGAGAAAAAAATGATCCCAATGAGATAAAAATAGGATGCTGATATAACAGCCCATATGTTGTTGTAGTGCCTCATCATTTACATACCTTAATCTCATTTAATGTTATTGCCTCATCGTCATGCAGGCCATGAAATAAATGTCTAAATTTGGTAGAGGCAAGAGAGACAAAGTCAATAGAGCAATGAGCTCAGGTGCCCTGGCAGTCTGAACCCATTTCCTTAAGGATAAACACTACCATCCTCTGCTGAATAGACCTTACCCAGGAGCCTGCAAGGAGCCTTACCCTCACCTGTCCTCAACATTTTTTTAGTTTAATCAGCTCTGTTTCTTTGCCAGTTTTACTATCCTATCCCCTGAGAGCTTGGATTGCTGATGCCACTGAATCTGATTAGCCAGGAATATAAAAACTAGAGAAAATAGTTCATTCATTAGTATCTTGGTTTGTATTCAATTTGATGGATTTTACATTTCTATCATACATACATATATAAATATACATATATATATAAAATAATCTCCAACAGTTAGATAATTTCAGGAAGCATTCATTTAGTGCAAAATGGTCCACCATCATTAAATGTGTGTGTTCCTGGACTTGATTCTCATGTCAAAGAATACATACATGAAAATGGTGTGTTTGAAAACTCTAGGGCTTAGAGGTTTGACTTTTAATTGTTAGTAAGGATACTCTCTTGTGGTGAGGTCCCAAACGGGATATAACAGTGAAGGAAGGGGCTCTACCATGAGTACTGCGCCAGTACTTACAAGTTGAATAGCTGGGCTTGAAGATGCTGGTGAATAATCTTTAAAATGGGAAATACTCTAGATTTTATGGATTTGGTACAAAAGCCATGAAGGCTTTCCTCATCTTTCTACATGTTCTAGTTCAAACCTAAAAATCACATCCTAAAGGAAATTACCTAAGGAAAATTTCTTAACAGAGAGGGTGACAGAGCCCTGGAACAGGCTGCCCAGAGAGGTTGTGGAGTCTCCTTCTCTGGAGCTTTTCAAAACTTACTTGGATGCAGTCCTGTGCCACGTGCTCTAGGTGACCCTGCGTGTGCAGGAGGGTTGTACTAGATGATCTCTAGAGGTCCCTTCCAATCTTAAGCATTCTTAAGCATTTCTGAAATATAGCAATAAAATGCATTTCCACAGTCTGATATTTTTTACTGGCAGTAAAGCAAAGAAAAAAAATATGAATTTCAGAAGTGCCTACCTCTTGGAGACCAGAACAAATTTTTCTCTGGTGAGAAA